TGATAAAGCTTAAGCCTTTGTCTCTGTGCTTTGATCTCTACCTAGGACTCTGCATGTTAACTTTTCATGTCTGTTTGGATGTCTTCAAACTTGGCCTTTACCAAAGTAGAAATATCTTCTCTGTCCCCTGCTTATTAGAGCCCTTAAGGTAGCTAACAAACTGTAGAAACCAAGCAAAGCTGGTTTTATTGGAACGAGGTCATCCGTTGTAAAGGATTCAGGGGTGTATTGTAGAGGCCTTAGGGGCAGTAGTCCTCAGGAAGGAATTAAAAACAGAACTAGAAAGTTGAAGTGCTCTCCTCCTGCCTCTCTTCCTCCCTCCCTCTTCTTCTCTCCCTTTTCACTCTCTTTCTCCTTCCTTCCCCTTCCCACCCTCCCCACCTCTGCCTCTGTAGACCAGCATAGTTGGCTCCTCGGTCAGTGTGGGATAAGAAATGGCTACTCCACAGGTCAAGCTGACATGTCACATTCAGAGAATGACTTGTTTTCAATTACAAATTCTTCAGGCCTCGGACCGACCTAGCAGCATAACTAAGAGCTGGGATGGATGAGAGCATGTGAGTGCCGCTCCCCGCAGTGTGGGCCCTCCTGGGCTCTAGGCCTCAAGCTGATAATGGGTATAGTTTCGTGTTAATACCTGTCACACGGAGACTTCAGTAAGCTCTGAGGTAGCCGCCTCCTTCCACTGCTAGAGGGAAAGGGTGAAATTTAATTTATTCATTCTGTGAACAGGTATTGAACCCTGCTTTGTCTGAAGCTCATAGATTACATACTTGCCAAAAAGATTGTAGCATCTGATAGGGAGGCAGCCCTGAATTTAAGCAAGCAAATAAAAATACACCAATTACAAGCGTGGTAAGTTCTTCAAAGTAAAGAAGCTGAGATAAAAAACAATGGAAGATAAGGGAAGGATTTACTTCAGAAAGGCCTCTCTGAGGGGGTGAGATTTTAAGCTAATATTTAAAGAGTGAGATGGAGCTAGCAGTAAAGGGTTTATTTTCAGAGATCTTTAAAAGAAGAAAGGTCTAAATTGTGAGCAAGGGGAGGATGACATGGGAGAAAGCAGGGGTGAGAATATGACTTGTAGGTCAAGGATTTTGGATTTAATCTCAAGTGTAGCCACAGTAAAAAATCATTAGCCATGTAGCTTGGTGTCATGTAATCCATTAAGAAGTATTTCTTTAGCCTTTAATTTATGCCAGAGTTTTGTCTGGTTTACTGAGGAGGATTAAAGAAGGAGAGGGGTCATCAAGGAACATGTATAAAGGGCCCATGGACAGGGCCGAAGGGGGGGTAGGATTCCAGGTGGGAGGTGGGTTTAGGTGGATGGGGGAGAGTGGTGGGGAGAAAATGGGGATAACTGTACTTGAGTAATAAAATTTAAAAAATAAGTCAAATATATAATCCTACCCAGATTTTGATTATAGCCTAGCCTGAGAGGGTAGGCTGATTGAGGAGGTTTTAGTCTCAGGTACAGGGGAGGGAGACCCCACCCTGGGCCCCGGTATCAGACATTCCAAAGCCACAGAACCAGGGTTTTATACAATGAAGAGTTTACTTGGGATAGATTGTGTGGTATGGTATTTATTTTTACAACATTGACTTTGAGGGAGGAAGTGCAATTGTCACTTTCAATAATATTTCATTCAAACACGTCTCTACATCTTTGCTTACCGCAGAGTGATCCAAGTGGAGAGTGTGAGCAAACTCATCTCCTTGATGTAGCACAGTGCAAAAGAAAAAAAACGGGAGATCTAATTACCATTGTACTTCGGAAAGTAAAAGGTCTTCTTAATGGGACGTTGAATTAAGGAATTTTGTTAACTTTCAGTTTCTGTTATTTCTTTGCTATTAGAAAGCAGTGACTATTCTGTCTCTATGGGATAACTGCCCATAGACAGTGTTGCAGACAGTATTAGAGTTGCAAAGGCAACCCCTGCACCTCCCTGGGATCATGCCCTCCCCCTTAGGTTATTGTTTTTACTAGTTACTCTAAGTATTTAACGATGTCCCTGAGGTTATGTAATTTTAGGGACATATTTAAAGGAACATTCTGCATTGGAAGTAATTTATTATTGTATATTCATGAGGGTCTAATCAGGAGAGAGGAATAACATACTAATTTAAACGGAAAAAAAAATCAACATAAAGAACTAGTAGCTATCACAACTAATGTGAATGTCAGGATTGGTTAAAGAGGACTAGATACAGGAATAGCAGATCAAGGAGCAACCTCTACCCCCGGGGCTGAGATTGACTGCTGGGGGCACAGGCTGCCCCGGGGCTAAGATCCTGACCTCGCTGGGGAGTTCATAGCTGTGGGCACTGGATAGCAGAGAAGCTGCTATAAGGCGGCGAGGTATGGCGTTGCCAGAAATACGCCCTCTGTGGTACGAGGGGAAGCTGTTCCTAGGGAGATCTGTCCCTGGAGGCACTCCGTTACAAAACTACCCCAAGAGTGTCTCAGGGGAAGCTGCTGTCTGCTGGGCGCTGTGGCTGCCATGCACTGCCAGGGTCTGGTGCTGAGGAACCATCCACGCTGCTGCAATAGAGCGTCCCAGAACTGAGACGTAAAAGTCCTTTCTTCTATTGGTCTTTCCAGCATCTTTTATCCACAAAGGTTAACATTGCAACAGCTGTTCAAAGAAAAATTTTTAGAGAGGACCATATCTATTTTCCAGAGCAGGCGGCAAAGGGTGGATTTGGAAGTAAGAGACAATAAATGGGTAACTGGCACACATGGGAATCCTTATCTATTCACTGTCAAGATTTTGACCAAGGGCTTTCAAAAGCTGTTTTTCCTGAACTTATTAGAAAATCAACTTATTATGTAACTTACTCGTCTATGGTAACTTTTAAAGAAATGGACTCACTTTAACCACTCCTTATGTCACATTTGTGTCACAATCAGTTCTTTGAAAAAAAATCTAATTAATTTTCAAATACTTTACAATTAATCAGGATGGAAACTGTTGTTCATAAAACCACGTGTCCAATATTTTGTTGAATAAATATTAGTTTGTAGTAAAAATAACTTATGTCGTACTTTGAATACAGCAAATTAGTTTTCAGGTGTTTCTTGCGTCTGCACTACCACTGGATTTTAAGGGAGCTCCAGGGGGACTGGGACTGAGTCACCCGTGCTTACTCCCTGTTGCCAGCTTCTGGCACAGTGAATGACACGTAGTTGACCCTCAGCCAATTAGTTATCTATAAATGAAAACAGATTACAACTATCCAAGTTTGTAGGTAAACTATTTTTATCACTAAAATACATAAGAAATAGTTGTGTATTGAATAATATATATGAATATATAAACTATATAAGGCATATTTCATGTGTATTACAGTATAACAAAGTATTTTCCAAGAATTCTTAAAATCTTTTTAAAAACATGACAGTTTGAAGAACCACAGAAAACCTATGAGAAGAAAATATCCATGGTGAAACCATTATTCAGAGAGTGATTTCTCATAAAAACAGTGAATTTTACCAGATGCTGTAGTAACAAGTTCTGGAATGTGGCCATTTTCAGGAAGTAGTAATAACTATTATCTTTCGTTTGAGAAATTCTTCTTACTGTCATCCTTGAGAGAAAGGATTTTCTTGAGGTTGCTGCCAACTTCATTCGTTGAAGATATACTAATCTTGATGGAAAAGAAAACCTCAGAGAAATAACATGTTTATTATGTTTCATCTTAAAGATGGTAATTTATGAATGTAGGAAGGTTAAAATGAAAAAAAAAATCATTAGGAGATCAGGGACTAAATTTTTGCTCAGTTGAATAAAAATTGTTACAGATTCAAAATCCAAAGCACCAACTCACAGTTAGGTTGGTTGCTGTAAGTGAAGACATAGAAGAGAAGAGGAGAAATGAGGGTTGGGTGGTCATAATCTTTAAATCTATCTACCTGTCTAGAGACATGTTGGTATAGAATCATTATTTTTATTTTCTGATTGTAATTATTTTAAATTGATATTTTTCTTAATACTGCCAGTAAAAATGATCTTTTTTTCTTAGCAAATAACACAACTACTTCTTTCTCATTAGTAGGAAAAGAATAATATGAAATAAAATCTGTATTTAGATTGTATGTCAAGTTAATTTTCTTTAGCTTCTTTACTTAGTAGGGTACTGGTTATGTAATGAATATGATATGAATAATGCAAATGAACTCTCAACTGATATGAGACAATAGTCATGATTAATTAATATTTATTGAGATTATACTGAGCACATGACATTATGTTTCTTAAAAACACTAACACTCTGTGAATTGTTTTGTTACGTTTGCTCTGTTTTATATTTGTTCCTTTTAACTTTAAATTGAACTGGCCAACACCTTGAAATTCTGACACTGAAAGAATAGCAGAGAAGAGGGCAAAGGAATTTTTTTCGCTTCTAATAACATAAGACATAAAGGTCAAATGTTGAAACAGCTATAATACCAACAATAATAACAACAACAGCCTAGTGTGGCCTGCGTTCCTGAAGCTGTGAGAACATTTTGGTGAAGGAGGTAGTAATACAAATCATGTGTGTTCTTACTTAACGTATTTACTTCAATTATATATCAACAATAGAAACCTTTTAAGCTTACGAAACCAAGCAAAGCCCTGTGGATTCTCTGTTGTTTGTGACTGGGACACTAAGGGACAGCACTAGATTATTACATAGTTTTCTGCTATTATTGATTACTTGCATACTATGTAATAAATAAAAGATTTACTGTTAAAGACTATTGAATGCCCTGTTGATTTCAGTGGATGAAAAGCACAAAGAGGAAGATGAGCTGTTCATGTCCATAGTTTCAGCCTTTGTAAGACCATGATTTGAATAATTTAGAGAAAACTTCCAGGATGTTTTTTGGTTCCAAGAAGATAGTAAGGCATGATAAACTAAAGAATTATGATTTTTCTGTTAAGAGTGTTTTGTTCTTTTCATTTTTTTGAGGTAAATATTTTGCACAAATTTTTCTTTGTAATCTTGTTTTCCAGGCACTTTGGAAAGACATGAGACAGGAGAGAGAGCAAGAATTATTCTTAACTGTTGTGATGATTCACAGTTTCTAAAGCCTGATTCTGTGCTTTCAATTGCCTCAGAGACACATAAGCACAAAAGTGTAGAACAGAGATCCTCCAGCTTCTACCAGTTTGGGCCAATGCCTTGCCCTGGTCTGCAGGTGGAGTCCTCATGTAAGGTAAGTTCAAAGAACATCATCACCCGTGGCTGAGAACTAATGTGCTTTCAAAAATATGTAGCAATTAAATAAATATCAGCACAAAAACAAGAACTCAGGCATGATTGCATCTATCATATCTACCAAGAGATCTTGGGTTAGTCAGCATAACATTTTCAGTGATTATTACTGTTGGAAGAACATTTTAAAAAAATTAGTTTCTAGCTTATCAAAATTGAGCCAATTTTATATTAACTCTTGAATTCTAGATGGTTTTATACTGATAAGAGGAGAAAAACCTACATTTTGTGGTCTAGATCCATATTTTTTTTAGTCAAGAGTATTTGACTTCTTTTTATAATGCTAAATACAAATAAACCAAAAAAATGTATATTGGAAGAAACCGGATCATCATATGGACAATTCTTTAGATATGCCCCGCATTTCTAAGATTACCAGCTTCTTAGGTTTCCAAGCCTCAGTTAATGCACAGTGATGGGGTCTGCACTTGTTTTCATACACCAAGTCAACCGGCTCCACAGACATTTGGGCAGGCTTTATTATTTTGTAATGTCAGATATGTTATAGTAATTCAATTGGATTTCTTTAAGGGACTCTTCTATCTTTTTGTCATCTACACTCTAAGTTATCTCCTCACCTTGTCATAACTATGCCATATAAGTGCATATTATACTGTAGCATTTTCTCATGTAAAACTTTTTACGTCATTACCTCTTTTTCAATTGCTGCATCATGCTCTATATACTGTGAATGTACTATTTCTGATGTGACTTGTTTTCTGTTGATTAATATTTGGATTGTGTTTTATGTTTCACTTTTTCTGTGTGTTTTGTTTTAATTATATTTTATTGCTTATGCTATTCCAGTTGTCCCAGTTTTTTCTTCCTTTGCTCGCCCTCCACCCAGCACCCTTCCCTCCCTCAGGTGAGGATGCAGAGAACATTTTGAGGTTGCCAGAAAAGAGGGCAGTGTGGGGAGAATGCGTTTTTCACTTTTATGAATAATGTATCTATAGGTCTAAAGCTTTTCTTCATATTCAGTATTATTTAATAGAATATATTTCCAGAAATGGCATTTCTAGTCAAATTTTAGCTGATGTTAAATGACATATTATTAACATTTTCTATTATTTTAGTGATATGAAAACTGTTAAAAATACCATTAACAAGGACTTTAAATGAAACTTCATTTCACCTCATGTGTACATATATAGTTAGAGCCAAAAAGATGTGTCACCTTCAAGGAAGACCAATTGGCGGATCAAGCTCTGCCTCAGAGGTGCAGGTTTGGATTGGGGACATCAGCATGTTATCTTCAGTTTCTTAGGTTTAGAAACTTGATTTAGGTTTTGAAGCCAGGGTTTATCAACCTTTTGAGAATTGAGTCACACTAACCCAACACCCAAGAAATGAATATATAAGCTAGAATGATTATCATTTAATTTACAACAATAAATATAATTGCAATTCTGTTCATAGCTCAGCACAATCTCACTGTAGCAAAGCTACAGGGAGTGAGGAAGAGGAGGAAGGTAGGATTATATATGTCATTGATGGGCTTGAAGTCGGGGGGCATTCACTCATTGAGCTCTCAGTGTCTAATGCAGTCCTCCCTTTCAGCACACTAAGGTACTATCACTCTTGTTTAAGACAGATATACATTGAAAAATTCCTAAATTTTAGATTTCTCTTTTTAAGACTCCATTTAGGCCACCTACTTTTGTTTATACATTCCTCCTTCAGATCTTGAAACCAGTGATTAGGCAACAGCTCTTTTTTTTTTTTTCTTGGTTAGTCAAATTGCTTGTAGGTTTCCCAAAACTATTGTTTATGTTCTTAAGAGACCATGTTTTATAAGGTCAGTTATATCAGTATGATAAAACTTTAACATTCACAACTGAAAGAGGAAAGTCATAAGGTTTTAGTTTCCTAGGACAGAAAAGTGAACCCATACTTACGTTATGTATTTATTATAAGGTCGGAATACATAAAGCCCAGTGAGTGAGCCCAACTGACTGCCAAGCGTTCCCATCTTAATTTGGCTTACTTGCTCTTGTTCATAATAGAGTGTGCATTTTAGGGTGGGAAGTATTCTACATTAGAACAGTAGATGAGAAATGGAGATGTCTCTTGATGATACGTATCAGATGTTGAGGGTCTGCAGGAGCAAATCTCATTCATTAAGTGCCTACTTTACTAGTTTAATGCCCAGAAAGTAAACTGATTACTATTTCTTCTAGTTTCATGAAGGACCTCACCCGTTAGGTGGTGATAATAGTATATATAGATTTCATTTTCTTTATATAATTTTGTTCCTTTCTTGACTCTAGGAAACAGTAAAATGCCAGGGTCTTGTTTTCTTACTCTTGGGCTGATTCCCACTTCATTTTTTAGCTACTGCTCTTTACCTTAGGTGACTACGGTTCCTAACCTTCATTCTCTACAGAGTAAGAGAATTGAATAAAAGAGGGCTATCACCTCCTTTGTTTTATATAGTATACTATTCTTCTAATGTTATTAAGCTTACTGTTAACTAGAGCTTTTTTATTTGTGCTTCTCCTAAGTTATATCTTCTCCAGTCATGTCCCGCATCTCTTCATTTCATTCTCTTAGATTTGAGCCAGTGAGATTGTCTTATCTTAACCTTATTTATAATTTTGATAAGCATGAAATTTCAAGAATACTTATAAAGTCTCCTTTCTCCTTACTATTAATATAGTAAAATGCTTCATGAGTTCTTCCCAGAAAAAAAAAAACAAAAACAACAAAACAGTTTTAAAGAAAGGATTTAAATAACCCTCATTTTAGAGATGGGAAAAATGAGGGACAATAAGCCTGTGAAATTTGGTACTGTCTAAGGTTACTCTGTTTCAGGACTTCTTTGTGTGGATTTTAGTGAAACAAGTGAAATACTTTCAAATGGTAAGGTGAACTGTCTAACTAGAAGATTAGAGTGCAAATCTGTTCTGTGAGTTTTGTGTTTGGCAATATTTAGAATTTATAGAGCTGGTCTATTCATATTTTCTTTCTGCATTTGAGGAGTGCACATAGATTTGGGAAAAGGTTTTAAAGAGAACAGCAACTACAACAAAGCATTTAAAAACGAGTCCAATTGGAAATGCTAGAGGAGCTGAATTTGTGCAGCTAGATAAAGAAAAATCTTTGGGGTAAGAGAAGGCCAAGGTCTTAAAGGATTTAAAGAAATACAATATCATATTAGTGATGCGGAAATGATTTTCTCGGATTCTGCTGAGGATAAAATAAGATAGAAACTGTTTAAATTGCAGTGGGAGGAAATTAGCTTCAAAGTAGAAAATAAACAATCTTACTAAAATCATCTCAACATGCCAGAAATCTTTGTAGCTTCATTATATTTTAAGGAGAGAAGGTATATTTTATCTGTTGGCTTGTTTGTTTTCAAATTCTTCTTCTGCATTTCTTGTCTATAAAGTGAGTAAAAGGATAAAAGGATTATTTTAGCTGCCACAATTTAAAACATCCTGGGAATGTTTTTTTCTTTTTTTTTTTTAAACTGGTTTTCTACAGAATGAGTACCCAGCAGCTCCGCATAGTTGCTTTTTTAGAGCTACATTGTTTAATATGGTAGCCATTAACTGTATATGGCTATTGAGTACTTGAAATTTATCTGGCACCACATGTTAAAATGATACTTTGCATATATGAGATTAAATGGAATTTATTACTAAATTAAAAAAAAATTTAAAATATGGCTACTACACAGTTTAAAATTACATAACTGGTCTTCATTTTACTTGTTTTGGACAGTGTTGAACTAGACCAGGGAAAAGCAAACTTAAAAGGCCATTTGACAAGGAATTTTAGGCTTTGAAGGACAGATTTTTGCTGTTAGAACTATTCAGCTGTGCTATTAGAGCATGTAAGCCACCATGGACAATTCTTAAGTAAGATTGTGTTCCAATAAAATTTTATTTATAAAAACAGGCAATGGACCCAATTTGATGCTTATGGACCATGGTTTCTAAGTTCTGAGCTAGATCGTCCTTCCTGGATTTGGAAATCATGAAGCATTAGCAGGAAATGGCAAAGTAGCCAACACCTCTTCTCTCCCTAGATAACTGAATTTTTAATAAAGCGACTTATCCTAATTTCTTCAGTGCTATGTGGAATGCAATTCAAAGGACCGTGTATCAAACCTATTCCCTGACAAAATTCATGAAATTCTTATATCTATAAATCTGACCTTTGTAGAAAAGGAATATACCCATTATAGCTCCTAATCCAGGCAAGATTTTTTAAATGGAATTATTTTAATTAATGCACTTACACATGCATCTTTATGTGAACATACAATTGATTGTAAATAAAGAGTGCAATTAATTCCTGTTGAGCTTTTTAGAAATATGTTTGTATTTTTTTAAACTTTATTTGACCTTAGGGTGATGTCTATTTGGTACCATTTGCTGCAAAATCTTATTAGAGCTTTATCCTGCCAACTCTCATAAAACACAGATGGTGCACTGGTAGCCACCAATAGAAAGTTGGCTCACACTACTACTTACTACTTTATCAGCATAAAATGTTAATTGTTTCATGTCTTAAGACACAAAAACTTAATAGAAATGGAACAAGAGTAGTTTCAAAATAGTAGGATTTCAAAATGTGACCTGCACATTTACATATATAAATTAAAAATAATTAATTGTGGCAATATTACATGTTACAAATTAACTCTGTTTACTACACTATCTGTATTGTATCAGAATTGAATCACAATAGAAAAGAATAAACAATACTTATTTGAAAACAATTATATAGGGGTAAATCTGCAATATTGATAATTTTATTTTCTTAATTAGTAATTAATTTTTGGTATATTCTTTTTAATGAAATAAACAACATGTAACTTTTTTTCTAACATAGAAAATATTTTGCATTGATTTTATATAATTTTAAAAGAAAATAAATGTTATTATTAGACATGCAAACCCTTCATGAAAATATAGGAATTCCTCTCTGTAAAAAT